TACCCCTGGTACATGGAAGTATGCATGAACGCCCCTGTTCGTACATCCTTTCTATTTCTTTGCCTATTCCTTGGCTATGTGCTTTGCTACCTCTTGAATCGTAGTAAAGCGCTTGTGTGTGTGTAGCTATGTGAGAGTGAGTTATTTTGTTCTTTGTGCGAAACGGAAGTGACGTATTTGCATCAGGATCGATGCCCATTCGACAAACCTCGGCTGATTCCGTCGCCTTCATCAAAGATGAAGTACGAATCGGCCGAGGTGTACCGAGTGGATCTTATTTTTTGTCTGTATGTCCGCAAAATCTTTAACCTTACGAATAACTTTTGAGCGGGGGGCTATGGCTTTCAAATTTGACAGGTGTAAGCCAAGACCTTTCTTTGGTTACCACCATATTTGACCTCTTAACCTTGACATTGGAGGTTGACCTACTTTAAAATAAAATACCGTGCACGTTTACTTTAGCCATAACCTTTGAACAGTTGGTGCTAGGACTTTCATACTTCTCAGATGTATTCTTTGTGACAAGACCTTTCACTGGATTCTAACAACTTTGACCTTTTGACCTACTTTTAAAAAACTTTAACCTTGGTCATGACTCTTTGAACGGTAAGGGCTAGGGCTTTCATACTTCACATAGTTAATCCTTGTGACAAGAACATTCTTAGGATACCAACAAATTTGACCCTTTGACCTTGATCTTGAAGTTTGACCTACTTTAAAAAAAACATTAACCTTGGTCAAAACTTTTGCACGGTTAAAGCTATAGGGCTTTTATACTTCAAATACTACCGGTAGTATGTAATTCTTGTGACAAGATCTTTCTTTAGAAACCAAAAACTTTTACCCTTTCACCTTGACCTAGGAATTAAGCCTACTTAAAAAAAAAACTTTAACCTTGGCCAAAATTTTTGAACAGGTGTTGCTAGGGCTTTGATATTTCATAATTGTATTTCTTGTGAGAAGGCCTTACTTTGGGTACCAACATATTTGATTTGCATTGTAGAAAGTGTAACCTTCGGTATGTTGCCATACAGGGGCATCAGTGTTTCACAAACACATCTTGGTTTTTTATGAGGGGGTCTTTGCTCCTTTATTTGATAAAAGCTTATCTTCAAAATTTGCGTAAAAAATAGATCAAAGGCCCACTTTACCTTAAAAGTACACTTTTATGACACAACAATGGCATCTTTTCGAGATATACTTGAATATTGTTACCAAATGAAGAGAGGACTTGTCTCAGTGAATGAGTAGCTGTCTTGGGTACCCTGGAAAAGGCATTATCAAAAGAAATAAAAATACGTACAGCGCTGAAAATTTTATGTGAAAAATTTCAAAACTCTACGAGGGAGATAGAAAAAAGTTTCATGAGAACTACTTCCGGTTCCCCCGGGATTCCCATCTTAACTCCTTTGTGTGACGTGTGTGCAAGGGGGCTCAACACTGTACCACGCGTAATAGTCGCCATGCGTTGTTTTTTTTTAGGGGGGGGGGTCAAAGGGATATTGCATTTTTATTTTTTTATGCCCACGTAAACAAAGTTTCGGGGGTATATAGTTTTTGTCGTGTCCGTCCGTCTGTCCGTCTAGCTGTCTGTCTGTCTCTCTGTTTGTCTGTTTGTCCGCAAAAACTTTAACCTTGCCCATAACTTTTGATTTAGTGGAACCATGGCTTTCATATTTCACATGTGTATTCCTTGTGATAAGACCTTTTTTTGGGTACCACCAAATTTGACCTATTGACCTTAAAGTTTGACCCACTTTTACACAAAAATTCCATACCTTTACTTTGGCCATATCATTTCAACAGTAGATACCAGAACATTTATACTTCACATATACATTCGTTGTTAAAATACCTTTCATTTGGAAGCCAACAACCTTGACCTTTTGACCTTGGAGATTTTCGTACTTATGAAAAAACGTTAATCTTGGCCATAACTTTTGAACGGTAAGGGATAGGGCTTTCATAATTCACATATGTTATCCTTGTGAGAAGACTCTTTAATGGATACCAAAAACTTTGACCTTGACATTTGAGTTTGACCTACTTTTAAAAAGCAAACCTTGACCATAACTTTAAAAAGGTTAGAGCTAGTGCTTTCATACTTCACATATTTAATCCTTGTGACAAGACCTTTCCTTTAAAAGCAAGACCTTGGACCCTTAAACCTTGACCTTGGAGTTTGACCTACTTTTTAAAATTTTTTAACCTTGACCATAACTTCTGAACAGTAAAGACGAGAGCTTCCATAGTTTACATACGTATGTTTTGTGGCAAGACCTTTCATTGGATACCAATTACGTTGACCTGTTGACCTTGACTTTGGAGATTCCCGTACTTATGAAAAAAACCTTAACCTTGGCTATAAATTTTGAACGGTAAGGGATAGGGCTTTCATACTTCACATACGTAATCCTTGTGAGAAGACCCTTCAATGGATACCAAGAACTTTGATCCATTGACCTTGGAGTTTGACCTACTTTTTAAATTTTTAACCTTGGCCATAACTTTTGAAGGGTTAGGGATAGGGCTTTCACTCTTCACATATGTACTTTTGTGGCATGACCTTTCATTGGATACCAATTACCTTGATCTTTTGACTTTGACTTTGGAGATTTCCAAACTTATGAAAAAACTTTAACCCTTGCCTACTTTCATATTTCAGAATTGTATGTCCAGTGAGTTTGCATTTAAGAAAAGTTTAATCTTCCGTGTTTTGTCAAACGGGGGCATTAGTGTTTCATAAACACATCTTGTCTATTTACAGAAACAAACAAATTACATATATGTTCAGAAGCATACAATTAATTATATTTAACGACACACTCACATACAGACACACACTTACATACAGACACACACCAACAAATACACGTGGAAGGGGGGGGTGAAATAAATATCAGTCTTACATAAGTTTACAATATAACATTAGTAGTATAAAACTCCTAAGCTAAATCATTACTTTAAAAAAGACATTTCCAATTTGACCAACTTTTTATGCCCCCGTGAACAAAGTAATGAAGGGTCTTTTCACAAGGATTACATACGTGAAGTATGAAAGTTCTAGCCTTTTGGCCAAGGTTAAAATTTTTTCACAAGTACGGAAATCTCCAAGGTCAAGATAAAAAGTTCAAAGTTTTTGGTATGAAAGGTCTTTCAACAAAGAATACATATGTGAAGTATAAATATCCTGGTACTATTCAAAAGACATGGCCAAAGTAAAAGTTTGGAATTTTTTTGTAAAAGTGGGTCAAACTCCAAGGTCAAGGTCAAAAGATCAAATTTGGTGGTACCCAAAGAAAGGTCTTGTCACAAGGAATACACATGTGAAATATGAAAGTCATATCTCCACTAAGTCAAAAGTTATGGGCAAGGTTAAAGTTTTTGCGGACAAACAGACAAACAAACAGCTAGACAGACAGACATAGAGACAGCTAGACAAACGGACAGACACGACAAAAACTATATACCCCCGACACTTTTATTATGGGGGCATAATAATAATATTCAAACCCACGTCAATGTCTGCAGTACAGAGCATTGCATATTGTATATTAAATATTGCATTTTTTTGGACAATCTATCTAAAATGCACGCATGCATCGAGCATCAATTTTGCAACAAATTTGTGCTTCATCGCTCTGCCAACGTCGTTCACTGCGGGTTGCTTAACTGAAGAAACTCCAGGTTGTTAGTTACATTTTTCCCTGGCGGCAAATGAGGAATAAAACGGAAGTTAATTATTTTCTCTCATGGTTTGAATACCAGTGGAACTTTGCCTACTGTGTTCCTTAGTATACGTCTCCTTTCGTTTGACATGTGCTACTACAGCTCAAATCATCGAGATAGACTTTTATGTTCCAACCACCCAACGTACACATAGCACACTATGGTCGATGAATCAATGTATTTATTATATGTACTGGCGACATGTGTATATATTTGTGTATAATGTGCTATTAAAAAAGAAAATGCATAGCTTATGGTCAATATTTACATGTAAAGGTCGAGTACTTGTAGAACACGTATATACTCAGTTCGAACACGATGTTTCAATCACACGAAATCCTTCCTTTGCTCCATTTAATTAAATCCATCCCCAAATGCACTTTTTGTTTTATAATAGAAATGGTTAGCTATAAATAAATTCTGTTTTCAGAAGTGTGCAACTTGTTCTTATCAAACAGGGACTGGATTGAAGGGTTATTGTGTTAATTAAGCTTTTTTAATATGTGTTCCGACATTTAATTCATTACATTTTTTTTACATTTAAGAAGGAAGTTCAAAAATTGGTAAGTTACTGAAAATTTGTTTCATGAATACATCAATACGTCAAAAACAAACATTTCTTTGATAATTGTGAAATTGTTCTTCGTATTATTTTGCATGTAAATTATCTTATTTGCTTAAGTGAAATGAATTATAGTCCATTATTTATACACTGAATTGACGACGGATTTTTCCGTTATTTCCCGATCATGACAAGGAGCACACAGCGGGTGTGAACGGTCAGCAGGGGATGCTCACACCTCCATGGCACCTGATCCCACCTCTGATGTTTCGGAGATCCGTGTTTGCTCTGCTCCTATTTTGTATTGTTTTATGGACTTTGAGATTGAATTCTGTTCGTTATCTCCATATATCCTCCTTATGATATTGTGTAAATTATTTTTGGCCTCAATTAATGCATGTACATTCCACTTCTCAAAAATTTAAATGAGCTTTCCCCTTTGCCATCTCAAAAATATCCTGCAAATGCACGTAATATATGAGCAAGGGAAACTGATATTACACATCTTATTTGTCAATCTTTTCAAACACTAAATATCATTTTGATCAGAAATAATTCGATCACGTTTGTCATGGCATTAAATTATTTGCTGATGAGATCGATCTCGTAAACGAAACACGCAGTCTTGCTCTGCTTTAGTTATTTTTCGGGGAGATTGACTTAGCGGCAAATCACAACCACTGAAAATGTAAGATTCCGTCTTATTTTTTATTTCTCCCGAATGTGTTTGCATGCTGCCGGCTGTTGTTGTTTCGGTGTGAACTTTCTTCAGTCACGTGGAAAACTGTATCTGCTGCAACTGGCAACGGACGTTTATCCTTGCCATCGTCTGAATGACATGGATCAATATTTGAAGATACATGTATATAAAAAGAAAATGATGCCGTAGATAAAACTCCACCAGGATTTATAATCTTTAAGGACGCGTTAAAGTGCGAATTTTTAGCAAAAAATGTAATTCCACGTGATTTTCACGGAGGATAAATTCTAGCAATTTGTTTAACCTTGTGGTGTACTTGCAATGGAACTCGCAAATTCAAGTCCCTTCAGATATAATAATCATGGATCCGCGCCCTCATCTAGGACAAATTCTTTCAAAAATAAACCTCGTCCCCGTGGTGTGCAAAAACTTATTGATGTCCCAAGGCGAAACAGCATGCCCGACACTGGGGGCAAAGAGCTACTTTCGGTGAAATGCGGCGCCGACGGCGAACCATTACGTCGCGTACGCTCTTTTAAAATGACGTCAAAAGGTATTGTCAACCGAGGCGACACCTTTCGCCAAAGCAATTCAAGTTTGGCATCTGATGGAAGTTTTTCGGAACATATTTCACACAGGGAAAAACACCGGCAGAGAATATCGAGTGAGTCGGACAGTGTGGACCTTGACAATGCAAATAAAATCGCTACCTCTACTGCAATTCCGAACGTGTACAGGGTGGCGCTTTGTGGATCAGTGGGGGTCGGAAAAACGGCTCTTGTTAACCAGTTCAAAACGTCTGAGTACATGGGTGGATTTGAAATTTCCATTGGTTTGTATTTTTTTCTTCGAAATTTTCTAGGCTATATAATTTGCAAGACGGACAAGAGCCTTGGTCATAGAAAAGTACCAAATAGATAAAATCCTACGAAAGGCGAAAATTTCTTTTATTATATAGAATTCCTTAATATGAAATTGACAGATTTACACAATTTGCATTGATGCTTTGTCTTATTGGTATGTTCTCAGTTGACCTTCCAGTTACCATCATGTTCTTTCAAAATCTATAACCCCAGATCGTAAAGGGTAGCTCTTCTCAAGTAGCAACAGGAGAAAGGAATATATTATTTTGCATGTACAGTAGTATATAGTTAAGAATAATGACAACGTTTTTCCACGTGATACTTTTCTCAAAATTAAGCGGCATAAAAATAAAATTTAGAGATAAATATATGCAATTGTAATGTGTAAAACATAAACATCTCTGTAACTAGTCTGTTGAATTTGAATTTGACCGGGTCACGTCTTGAAACATGACAATATGTAAGAAAATCTCGTGGGATTAGTGATAAATGTAAATTAGTTTCCTAATTATGGTGAGCTCTAAGCCGGTATCTATTGTTAAGGGACTCGATTATATCGATACCCCAGTAAACTCGGCCTCTTCACTGTCGCACTAATAGACCTCACACGACAGGAAGTGAATCTCTCTATTGGATTTTCCAGCTATTGATTTGTGATACTGCTCTTTTAATAAACTTTGTTCATACATGAAGACCGATAAGGATTACTTACAAGCATATGTTTTATACTGCCTGATCGATGTCTATCGGGTACTTCAAACTCAGTTCGGGGTATAATGTTCATATTTTCTGATAGATCATATATAATGGTAATATCTTTTTTCTGTAAAGAGAAAAAAAAACATTTTATCTTTTGAAATGGAAGTAGGCATTGCGTGATTCGTAACAGTATTTTTTTAATTCTTATTGTTCAGGGAAAAGGTCATGACCTTGACCTGACCTTACCTCTAATATAAAACAGTCAAATTTAATCTTACGGATTCTATCTAATATTGATATAGTCTTCTTGATTCTATGAAAATTTCATTAATTTTTAAACACAAGAAATATGAGAAGAATCCCTCCTTAAAAAATTATTCTTTCTTAAAGGGGGAAGGGTTTATATATGTATCAGATATAAATATGTTGCTACGGTTCTATATATCTATGAACTGCGTTCTATCGTTTAGCTCAAGAACTTTGGAGGGTCTTTGAGGTTGTTCGATTAAACCCAGTGCAAGAGTCTATATAAATGTATTTGTTAAACATAATGATTAGACATGTACATGGAAACTGTTGTTGAACTGAGAAATTTTGGAAGTTGATTTAAAGTCTTTAAAATGTGTTCGAAGTGCCAGAATTTTGTGAGACCAAATGGAACGATTGTTTTGCAGCTTCAAAGACGTGGAAGAAATTGATAATGTTTACTTAATAATCCTATTTTAAGGTTGGCATTTAGTCATATACTCTAAATGTGTCAACGTATAATTTCCGCTTGGTACCAACATAGTAGGTCCATATAGACATCGTAATATTGTTCTTGTATTGAGAAAGCTCCCTACAGATAGTCGCAAGAAATCCGTAATCTTATTATCGCAAATAGAAATGTCAAATGTTTTATCAAGGGAGAGAATTAATTGCTTATTCAGGATTGGTGTGAACCTTTTTTACGGATTACGTAGTTTTTTCTTTTTCACTAAATTATAACTTATTTCATCTCGGTGAACGTATCGACGCTATGAAAGACGACTTGGTGATAACAAAATGAACTGATATGAACAAGCTCTAAAAAAATATCTCGAAAGTGCATATGATTGTTTATACGGGATGTATTCTTACATATAATAAATACAAAAGACAATGCAATATCGGCATAGATCTTTTAAAAAGATTAACTCTACAAATCTAAAAAAAAAACAACAACAAACAAATAGGGTAAGACCAAATATACAAAAGGCCAAGGTGCCTCAATGAGCGCCTGAGTAACTGGTCCATCTATTCTTCATCAGCATTCTTTCCTACATATTTTTATGTAAAAACTTCGGTACCTCTCTATGGCCCCATCCTACCACAGGGGATCGTGATTTGAACAAATTTACATTGTAAATATACACTAACTGAGGATGTTTCCATATAATATGAATAAGAACAAGCATATATTTGCTGTACTTGAGAAGACTTAAAAGATTTTTCCAATGTGCTCGTATGTAAAACTTTGATTGCTCGTCTGGTACCAACCTAGAGGGTGGTGGGGGTGGGGGTCGTATTTTAAAGTGGAGAAGATCCTTGAATGCCTCACCTTATACCCGGGTGCCATGATCATCATTCAAACAATCAAACATCAATCTACACTAGTTGAGGATGATTCTAGAAAATATGGCTGATCTTGGCTTTGCTGAGAAGAAGAATTTTAGAAATATTCCCCATGTTTTTCTATGTTTAAATTTCATCCCCTATTGTGGACCCACCATGCCTTCAATGGTCATGATTTCAACAATTCTGAATTTCCATTACCTGAGAATATTCTGTATTAAATAATACCATTGATCATGTCATTGATGGTCTTTGATTGATTGATTGATTGATTGTATACTGTTTAACGTCCCTCTCCTGAATATTTCACTGATATGGAGACGTCACCATTGCAGGTGAAGGGCTGCAAATTTAGGCCTATGCTCGGCACTTAGGGCCTTTGAGCAGGGAGGGATCTTTATCGTGCCACACCTGCTGTGACACGGGGCCTCGGTTTATACGGTCTCATCCGAAGGACCGCTCCATTTACGACAAGCAAGGGGGCACTGAGGACCTATTCTAACCCGGATCCCCACGGGGTTGATGGTCTTTGAAAATAAGTTTTAAAGATTTTTTCCTTAATATATAGTATTCACATGTAAATCTTTTATACCCTGTCTTGACCATGTCCCACCCTGAGGGTCAAAATTTGAAGAATAAAAACTTGAATCGCAATCACCTGAGGATGCTTCTTTTTTTAAATGATTAATAATGACTATGTTTTTCTTGATATGAACATTTTAAAGAGATTTTTCCTACATTCCTGTGTAAAACTTCTGTTGTGGTCCCACACTACCCACGGACAGTAGCCCACGGGGGTCATGATTCATACAAACTTCAATCTTCACTAGCTGAGGATGCCTTTTGAATGAAGCTCTCACATCTCTTCTGGTCCATTGGTTCTTGAGAAGATTTCAAATGATGCCACCAAAATTTTATGAATTCGTAATTACTAGTATATCCCCCCCCTTGTAAGAGGGTGTAGCCTTTCAATGAACACATTTGAATTTCATCTACCAAACTCGTTGCCAAGTTTGATTGAAATTGGTCCTATGTTTTTTGGAGAAGATGAAATTGTAACTGGAAAGTTTACAACACAATAAAGCACACACAAAAATTTTAAGACCCCCCCCCCCAGAAAAATAATTTTAAATGGTCAGTGCCTTTACATTAGATAGCGTATGACTAACGAGAGACGGGTACATCAGTATCATATTTTGTTAAGTGCTTTGCTTTGTCTGGAAAGAATTCTGCTAAACATTTATATTTTTTCATATGCAAGGTTTATACAGATTAGAAAATGTTCCATTCATAATAATTACATGCATCAAAGGTTTCCATGCAAAGTAATCAGGGATCGAGATATTTTCTCCCGTCATAATTCGACTTCTGCAGTGTTTCTGCTATCTGCGTCCAAAAAATATATTAAGCTGATGCGCATGCTGCTCTAATGTCTTGATATCAATCCATGAGGCACGCCATTAAGAAGGGAGATAGCATTAAAAAAGAAAGTTATTGGTCGACTCCAAGCCCATTTTCAATAGATAACAATCTATAATTCATTAGAAATTCAAATTAGACGCCAAATACTTCGCTGCTTTTTTGACGATCAAATTTGCCAAAAGGTTACATTCAATATGCAAAAGAGAAAATCCATTCGCTCGGTATTCCGGCGCGGAAATTAATTTTCTGTTTCCATAAAGCCAGAGCGATCCGAATAATAACAGAGAAGCAAGCCTTTGGAGTCTTGCCACACATTCTTTGTTTGTCTTTCGCATTTTGTTGTTTATGGGGGCCGCCACTTTATTTCTGAGAAGGATTAAAGAATGTTATTGACAGAAGGAAAATAAAGTCACCACATGCTCCCAACAGACACCTCATCTTGCTTCTTTTTGTCAAAATATCTAAGAATCGGTTACTTTGTGGCTTGCTTTGAACACAAAGCACTATTTGCTTCACGAATGGTTACCAAAATAGTTAATGTATACGGTATTCCATCCACAATGCAATTCCGAACGTGTACAGGGTGGCGCTTTGTGGATCAGTGGGGGTCGGAAAAACGGTTCTTGTTAACCAGTTCAAAACGTCTGAGTACATGGGTGGATTTGAAATTTCCATTGGTTTGTATTTTTTTCTTCGAAATTTTCTAGGCTATATAATTTGCAAGACGGACAAGAGCCTTGGTCATAGAAAAGTACCAAATAGATAAAAATCCCACGAAAGGCGAAAATTTATTTTATTATATAGAATTCCCCCCAGTTGGCATTTTCTTTAAGACCCTCTCTTTACCAGAGGAGGTTTTTAAAAACATTAAAACGATATTGTTTAATATGAAATTGACAGATTTACACAATTTGATGCTCTGCATGTCATATTGGTATGTTCTCACTTGTTCTTCCTGTTGCCATCATGTTCTTCAAAATCTATAACTTCACATCGTAAAGGGTAGCTCTTCTCAAGTAGCAAATGGAGAAAGGAATATATTATTTTGCATGTACAGTAGTAGTATATAGTTAAGAATAATGACAACGTTTTTCCACGTGATACTTTTCTCAAAATTAAGCGGCATGAAAATAAAATTTAGAGATAAATATATGCAATTGTAATGTGTAAAACATAAACATCTCTGTAACTAGTCTGTTGAATTTGAATTTGACCGGGTCACGTCTTGAAACATGACAATATGTAAGAAAATCTC